TTAAGCCCTCCTGACATCCACACATCAAAACAGAAGCCCGTTTCCAAATGTGCAGTGATCTGGAGAGGATACCTATGTAGTTCTTCCTCGTCCTTTTTACTCCTACAGCCTTGGGGTGGGAATGTCTCAAAGACAGCCCGCTTACAGTTTCTCCAGCTTACAGACTCTTCTGATGGATGTGGTGGAGAGCTATCAAGCGATCTTAGTACCCACCTCTGTTGGACCTCCAGAATACTCAGTCAGGAAAGGCCTTGAAGAATAAGGTTGGGTCTCAATAGGAATTCCCAGCAACATTTGAAAACCTGCAATGGGATAGTTCCACCCACCTGAATGGTTTCTACAGATGCTCCTCGACTTCTGACAGGTTTATGTCCAGATAAACCTATGGTGAGTTGAAAATATCGTAATCCAAAAACACGCTTAGTACAACTAACCTACCAAACATCATAGCTTAGCCTAGCCTTCCTTAAACATGCTCAGAACGCTTACATTAGCCAACAGCTGAGCAAGATCATCTGGCAACAGTGTACAACGTAGAGTATTGACTGTTTACCATCCCAACCCCATGGCTGACTGGGAGCTGCAGCAGCGTGCCAGGCATCAAGACAGACTATCATTCATAGGGTGTATTGCTAGTCTTGAAAAATAACAAAATTCAAAATTCCAAGTATAGTCTCCACCGAATTAATAAAGTTAAAAAATCCTAAGTCGAACCATCATAAGTTGAGGACCGTATATAGCTAGTAATTACATATTTTCTTCTTTTTCTTTTTTCTTTTCTTTCTTTCTTTTTTTTTTTTTTTTTTTTTTTTTTTTTTGAGATAATCTCGCTCTGTCACCAGGATGGAGTACAGTGGCATGATTTTGGCTCACAGCAACCTCTGCCTTTAGGGTTCAAGCGATTCTCCTGTCTTAGCCTCCTGAGCAGCTGGGATTACAGGCACCCTCCACCACGCCCAGATAATTTTTGTATTTTCAGTAGAGACGGGGTTTCACCATGTTGGCCAGGATGGTCTCGATCTTTTGACCTCGTGATTCGCCCGACTTGGCCTCCCAAAGTGCTGGGATTATAGGCATGAACCACCATACCCAGCCATTAATTATATATATATTTTTATTTGTCAAGCATCTGTCTCTATGCTGAAACATAGTCACAGTGGGCAGGGATTACATTTCTTTCAAATCATGTTGTATTTCCAGAGTTGGCCACATAGTCAACAATACTTGCTGAGTGTTTATGAAAGTGAATTAATGAACTCTGATTTTTCAGTTTGCTAAGGGAGGACAGTCCAGGAAATCCTCAATTTTTTTTTTTCTTTTTAGAGATGTTCTGTTCTTTTAATTCACCTGATTATATCCTTCTCTCATTTACACTTATAAGACCTGCTTAATGATTACCTAATTTGCTCAGCAAAGAACCTTTGGAAATAGTTCCTTGCTCCAGGGAATCCCAAGTTTATAAGACTCTCTAGGTTTAAAAAAAAAAATTGGTGGAGTGATTTCACTTAGTATTTTAATGTCGATTAATGCCCAGACTCCGTAAAGCTAGATTTAACTTACAGAAGATTTATAAGTTGCAAATTATTTGTGTTCTGTAGAAAATGTAACCTAATGGTTTTATTTCCTTTTAAAACTTTAATCAGTTTTGTATGTAAATTTGCAATCTTGTTCCATAATTTTTTCCTCTGACTGTATACACTTTAGTATCTCCAATTCTTTGAACCAGAGTGAAACAAACCTTTGATATATGCCTGCTATATATTGAACTATTAAGTAAGGAGAGATGAATCAAGGGACATGGTAAGGCTTTTTCATAGGTACTAATTGAATACTAATGTATTTAATAAACTGCCTGCCGGCACACCAAGAATAGATTTAAAAGGGCATAAATATACTTTTAACTTTTTGGAAATAATAGTTCAACAAATCCTTATCCACACTTACTCTTTTGGGAGTGAAACCGAAGCACAAACCAGACAGTGCTGGGCAGTATCTACAAGATCGAAAGAGCTATAAAGATATAACACAGGGAAATTTGGATTAGTGAATCTATTAAATAAGGAGAGATAAATCAAGGGACATGGTAAGGCTTTTTCTTGGGCTGTGGCTAAAATAAAGTTCAGCATTTGGTGGGGAACATTTTTCTGAAATATATGAAGTTTTAGTCCCCAGGGAGACAAATCAGGGAGCTACATGGAGAGGCCAGCCTGCGGGAGACTGACTTTGCAGATGAGTGAACTTCAGACGGGGTGTCTGAAATCACCCCGCCCATTCTTCTCTCGACACCTATGTCCTCGTTCATGTGGTCTTGTAATCATGCAGTGACCCTGCCAACATTCACGAGGCAATTGAGTGTTTGGCTGGTCCCTGAGGGAACATGGGCAATGTGACCCGGGGTCTCCGGGCTCAGAGGGATCACACATGCTGCTGTGAGGACTGTGGAGAGAGAAGCAAGAATCCCTGTAGGCAGCTGTTTCTTCACTGACTTGTGAACCAATTCCCAGTGCTTTCGGAGATATAAAGAGACAAAGGGGACATGTTAAAGAGCTGCTTATCTCCCAATTCTGGTTTCCCAGGGGATCGAATCCCATTAGTTCTTCCATTGCTTATTCAACCACTCAATCCAGATGCTCACGTATGTGCATGTTCATTTCACCTGCACTTTTATATAAATACAACATGCACACACACAGTGCACACACACGCACGCACAAGCACACATACAGGTATGCCTCACCTACTTCCCCATTTACCAAATACTTACAAATATCTTTGTCAAAGAGTATGAGGAAGCCGAGGGTGACATCACCATGAAGACAGTGGAATGAACTAATGTGTTCTAAGCACATTGGGAAATCGTGACTCAGGAGGTTCTGGTCCCAAACGTCGTCTTCTTTGGTACCCATGCTTTTCTGCAGTCCTCTTTAAAAGATCACTAAATTCTGTAGTCCTTGAGGTCATGGGCTACTTATTATTCACCTCTATATCCCTACGTTTGGACATACATCCTCCAAGAATGTTGTAGGCTTTCAAGGAACACCTTTTGAATACACTGCTCTGGTCACACTGTTGACTTACTTTATCCTTGAGGTAAAAGCTGTCTGAGAGCAGGAATCAGGTCTGAAAATAGGACTGGATAAATAGGAGAATAGAATCTCACAGTTAGAAGCAGACAATGTAGAACTACGCTTTCTCTTCATCTTCCCTCCCCCACCAAGTGGGCATCAGGCAATGTGAAGGCACAGTCTGTGTTTCTGTTTTAATCAGAAGGGTGAATATCTGTCTTGTTCAATTCTAATTTTGACATCTTTATTGAGACATAATTTACATATTATGTAGCTCATTTGTTTAAAGTTCAAACAAACTTTAAAAATTCAAAGGTTTTTAGTATATTCACAGAGTTGGGCAGTCACCACTACAATTTTAGAACATTTTCATTACTCCAGAAAGAAAACCTGTATCCATTGACAGTAATATCCCAATTTCTCCCAGCCCGATAAAGTAACAGGAAGCCGCTGATATTTCTCGGAGGACGGGCATAAACGTAAAAGGAGACGCAGGGAACAGAATCTTGTCCAGGTTCTGGTTCCTCAGATGCCCTGAGTCAGCCCTTCAGGGTCCAGCCTGGGAGAGGCTGTAACTGGCTAAAGCCTCATCCCCTTTCTATTTCCACGGATTTGCCCACTCTACACATTTCTCATAAATAGAGTCATGCCACATGCAGTCTTTTGTGAGTAAGTTCTTTCACTTAGTGTAATGCTTTCAAGGATCACCCTCAATATAACTGTTCAAAATAAATGAATAAATGAATGAAAAACTCTTGTCTAGTAAAACCCAAAATCAGAAGTCTGAATAACTAGACCCCTGGCTGACCCTCTATTTCCTGGTAGGAGAGGAGATCACTCTTCATAAGAGCTACAAGAAATGATGTCTACTTCCAAAGAGAGTTTCCAAATAATCCACCTGTCTGGTTGAGTTAAGCTCTCTGAGGGTAAAATTAATTCTCCATATAGATAATTAATTAACCTCCATTAATTAATTATTTAATCTCTATACGTTAATTAATTTTATGTAAAACCTGGGAAAGTACCCAACACATGGCATTAGTTTTTCTTTTAAACACATATTTATTAAGGATCTACCAGGCATAAAACGTCGTACTAAGCTCTTTCTTACTTCTCACTTTATATTAGATATACTTAGCTCAGTGAGATAGCTATATCTGGTTTATAATGGCCATTACATATGAGAATTGATACTCGTAGTGAGTATCATAGTGATACTCTAGCAGTTGTTGAAAATTCTTCCAGCAACTTCTAGATATTACGCAGTTAGCATATGCACGTTTTATGACTCCAGTAGCAGATTCTGTACAATTTCTCCGATTAAAGGAAATACTTAGATTTTAGAGGGGATTTTATTTTCAATCACTCTCCTTGCTCTAGACCACAGAGTGAACTCAGATTTAATCCACTGAAACTGCTTGTCACAGTGAGTCTGAGGAAACGCAGAAACTGAGAGGTCACGAGGAAGGACTGAGAGCCCAGGCAAGGGAGGGACGCCTAGAAAGAGGCAAGGCTGTGGAAGCCCCTGGGATGGCTGGATCCACAGCAGGACATGGAACAGAAACTGCTCAGGGTATGGGGAATCAGACCGGAACATTTCCACTGAGTCTGGGAAAGCGGTGGCTCAGAACTGATGTTTCCTCAGGGAACATGCATAAAAAAGACCCAGGAAACAGAATCTTGTCCAGGTGTGGGTCTCTTGGGTACCCTAAGTTAACTCTTTAGGGCTGTGACAGGCTAAAGCCTCTCTAGATCCCAGCCCCAAAGAGGAGTCCTGGAAGCTCCTGAGGCCTCTTTGATTGCAGGGTCTAGGAGGCAGAGGAATGTCAGGAATGACCCAGCACTTGTCTGGTTGAGCAAGAGCCACCTCATCCTCTTCCCAGAGCCAAGCCTGGGTCCTATAAAAGACACATCCAGCTCCAGCACCTCATCTGCTCTGACTCCCCAGGACGTGTCTGTGCTCCTGTGTGCGACCAGGGTGAGTGGGAACATGGGAGACAAGAGGGATATTAGCAAGACAGAGGGAGGGAGAGGGAGATAGTCTGGAGAAAGAGATTCATGTGTTTGTGTTCTGCCATAGTGAGCCAGAATAGCATTCAGTCTGCCTCAAATCTACTGAGGCTCTGAGGCTTACTGGGGCTCACATAGGTGGGGTTAGATAACTGTTCCCATCTTTTCCAATTTTGTGTTCAGTGATTTCACGTTGTTAACTTCAAAACTGCCACGTTGGTCATATTCACACCATGGAAATTGGCAACTACTTCAAGTCAGTCCCTTTTATCTGGAGTTTTCATTGCGAAATGTTTTCCAGAGAACCCCCGGGTGTGCCCTGCAACACCCAGCTTGTCCTTAGGGCTTTTATTAAGGGAATAGGTATTTCAGGGAGCAGTGAATACTCTATTCAGGTTTGTGAGGATACAGCAATTTCAGCTTCCGCCTGAAAGGAAGAATAAGAAGCTCATTCTGTTGATTTTTTTTTAATCTGTGTACTTTAATCTGGAGGAAAGATTCAAGCTGTTTTTTTCAGGTTACTGAGTGACTGCATGATCTAAATATCATTCTTCTTGCATTGATTTTAGAAGAGGTATAATATGATCTCTGGCTTTAAATATTTAAAGAGTCTCATTATGACTTTTTAGGTTGACGTGACTCCTGCCAGCATGTCTTGCCAGCAAAACCAGCAGCAGTGCCAGCCCCCTCCCAAGTGTCCTCCCAAGTGCACCCCAAAATGTCCACCTAAGTGTCCCCCCAAATGCCCACCCCAGTGCCCAGCCCCATGCCCACCTCCAGTCTCCTCCTGCTGTGGTCCCAGCTCTGGGGGCTGCTGTGGCTCCAGCTCTGGGGGCTGCTGCAGCTCTGGGGGTGGTGGCTGCTGCCTGAGCCACCACAGGCCCCATCTCTTCCACCGGCGCCGGCACCAGAGCTCTGACTGCTGTGAGAGTGAACCCTCCGGGGGCTCTGGCTGCTGCCACAGCTCTGGGGGCTGCTGCTGACCTGGGCTACAGAGGAGCTCTTGGGACTGAATGGTGAAGATCCTGCTACAGCCTGATGCTTAACTCTTTCCACTGGCTCTCATTCCATTCCTGGGTCGACTGGGACCACAAAGACTCACGGGGCTTCCCTGGAAGAACTTCGTGCTCGGTGGAGCAGCCCAAATGCATGGCTTCCTTTCCTCCTTTACCTCGTGTGATAATAAAGCTCTGATTTCTGATTCACAAATTGTCTTGGTTGTTCTCTTCTCTTCTGAGATTTCTAAGGTTTTCCAAAGTTCAGGGCCTAAGAGAAATTCTCATGAGGCAAGGACAGGACATGAGTAGGTGATACGTGAAAAGCTGCTCCGAGGAGCTGATTTCCCTAACTGCAGGGTGTATGGAGCTCTAGAGGGTCAGCTCCAGCTATAGTAGCTTTGCCTTTCACCCCACTAACCCAGACACATGTTCCAACTGCTTGTGTAGACGCTGGCAAGATTGGGAACCTCTATAGACTTATTCTTCCCTGAGAAGAACACATCTCTATGAAGCAAAACTTCTCTGTTGTTACAAGTCATAGTTGAACAAATTGCTTAAAATGAATGTTGAGACTCTTTCTTCTTCACAGTACAGCCCATGGTCACTGAACTCTCTTCCAGGCAGCATAACTCTGGTTCAGATCAGCCTTTTGACTTGCTGCCTTGATCTCCTGGCTTCTCTTCTTCTCAGTGTTAGATCTGAGTCCCAGGATGCTGTCCTGACACTTGGCCCAGATGCTGGGCAGGTGAGTGATGAGAGATGGAGATATTTATTCAGAAAAAATGGTAGTCACACTTAGAAAATACAAATATCATAAGGTACAAGATGCTGTAGGAAAGAATAGACCTTTCCTTCTTCAATACTTATCTTCCTTGCCCAGCCACACTCAGGTGTGAGGTGGGAGAAGCACCATGATGATTGGATGATCTTTAATATTAATAGGAGAAGGAGAGAAAAGCTGGAACACAGCAGGAGAAATAAGCACTAGGTCTTTTTAGGTCCAGGCTGACAAGTTTCTACATGAAGATGACGGATCAGCGAAGAGAGATTCTGACAGAGAAAGAGTCTCTTATTAAGATACTCAGCTTAGCCAGGTGCAGGGGCTCACACCTTCAATCCTAGCACTTTGGGAGGCTGAGGTGGCTCATCATGAGGTCAGGAGCTGAAGACCAGCCTGGCCAGGATGGTGAAACCCCATCGCTACTAAAATTACAAAAGTTAGCTGGACATGGTTGCACATGCCTGTAATGCCAGCTAGTCAGAAGGCTGTGGCAGGAGAATTACTTGAACCGGAGAGGCAGAGGTTGCAGTGAGCCAAGATTGTGCCATACACTCCAGCCTGGGCGACAGAGCATGACTCTATCTCTGAAATAAATAAAATAAATAAATAAATAAATAAACAATAGATGTTCAGCTCCCTCCCGACCCTTACTGCTGCAAAGACAAAACCCAGGCTGTTTAACCAGCCTGAGATTCTGTACTCTCTGCATTTTAAATCACCCTCTGCACTGAGACACTTTATCTTAATGCTCTTCATTATTTTTCTAGTCTCATTACTAACTGAATTTTCAAGTCCTGACCAGTAGTAACTTCGAGCTTCTAAAAATATGTACATTGGCAATTTCTACAAAATGTGTAAAAAGATTTTAAATTTTCTTTTCAATTTTCAAGAGCTCTTGATATATCCTTGATACTTTGATCTGCCTTTATGAAAATATTTAATACATCTGATTTAATTGAATCTGTTTATAATAACTTTTGCTATATAAATATTTTTAGTTTTTATATACTCAAATATGACTTCCTTTGCTTTTATAGCTTCAGGGTTTCTTGAGTTGGTTAAAAAGTTTTCCCTTGTCCTCAGTGTTTACACTGAGGTTCCCTTCTTAATGAGTGAAACAAACTTTGATATATGCCTGCTATATATTTATATGAGTCACGCTTTTAACTTTGTGGAAGCAATAGTTCAATAAAGCATTATCTCCACACTTACTCTTTCGGGAGTGGAAAAAAGACGGTGCCAGGAGCTATCGACAAGATCAAAAGGGCTGGGAAGATACAGTAGAGGAAACATTTGTGTTAGCGAATCTATCAAATAAGGGGAGATAAATCAAAAAGCATGGTAAGGCTTTTTCTTGTACTGTGGCTAAAATAATATTCCAGCATTTGGTGGGGAACATTTTTCTGAAATATATGGAGTTTTAGTCCCCAGGGAGACAAATCAGGGAGCTACATGGAGAGGCCAGCCTGCGAGAGACTGACTTTGCAGATGAGTGAACTTCAGACGGGGTGTCTGAAATCACCCCGCCCATTCTTCTCTCGACACCTATGTCCTCGTTCATGTGGTCTTGCAATCATGCAGTGACCCTGCCAACATTCACGAGGCAATTGAGTGTTTGGCTGGTCCCTGAGGGAACATGGGCAATGTGACCTGGGGTCTCCGGGCTCAGAGGGATCACACATGCTGGTGTGAGGACTGTGGAGGCAGAAGCGAGAATCCCTGTAGGCAGCTGTTTCTTCACTGACTTGTGAACCAATTCCCAGTGCTTTCGGAGATATAAAGAGACAAAGGGGACATGTTAAAGAGCTGCTTATCTCCCAATTCTGGTTTCCCAGGGGATCGAATCCCATTAGTTCTTCCATTGCTTATTCAACCACTCAATCCAGATGCTCATGTACGTGCATGTCCATTTCACCTGCACTTTTTTTTTTTAGACGGAGTTTCGCTCTTGTTACCCGGACTGGAGTGCAATGGCGCGATCTCGGCTCACCGCAACCTCCGCCTCCTGGGTTCAGGCAATTCTCCTGCCTCAGCCTCCTGAGTAGCTGGGATTACAGGCACGTGCCACCATGCCCAGCTAATTTTTTGTATTTTTAGTAGAGACGGGGTTTCACCATGTTGACCAGGATGGTCTCGATCTCTTGACCTCGTGATCCAGCCGCCTCGGCCTCCCAAAGTGCTGGGATTACGGGACGTGAGCCACCATCACCTGCAATTTTATATAATTACAACATGCACACACACAGTGCACACACATGCACACACACAGGCTTTCCTCCCCTACTTCCTCACTTACCACATCATTACAAATACCTTTCTCAAAGAGTATGAGGAAGCTGAGGGTGATATCACCACGAAGACAGTGGAATGAACTAACATGTTCTAAACACATTGGGAAATAGTGACTCAGGAGGTTCAGGCCCAAAGCATCATCTTCTCTGGTACCCATGGTTTTCTGCAGCCCTCTTCAAAGAGGCCAGTAAATTCTGTAGTCCTTGAGGTCATGGGCTACTTATTATTCACCTCTATGTCCGTACATTTGGACATACATGCTCCAAGAATGTTGTAGGCTTTCGAAGAATGCCTTTTGAATTCACTGCTCTGGTCACACAGTTGACTTACTTTATCCTTGAAGTAAAATCTCTCTGAGAGCAGGAATCAGGTCTGAAACTAGGATTGGGTGAACAGGTGCATAGAATCCCTCAGCTAGAAGCAGACAATGAGAAACTCTGCTTTCTACTCATCCTCCCCTCCCTCACCAAGTAGGCATTAGGCAATATGTCGGTGCAGTCTTTTTCTGTTTTGATCAGAGTTGTGAATATCTATCTTTTTAAATTCTAATTTTAGCATCTTTATTGAGACGTAATTCATGTATTTTATAGTCCATTTATGTAAAGTGTAAATTCAATGGTTTTCATTACATTCATAGAGTTGGACAGTCACCACCACCACTTTAGAACATTTTCATTACTCCAAAAAGGGAACCTCTATCCGTTTTCTGTAATTCCCAGTTTCTCCCAGCCTGCTAAAATACCTAGAAGCCGCTGATGCTCCCTCAGAGGATCGGCATAAAGGTAAATGGAGATAGAGGGAACGGAATCTTGGCCAGGCTCTGATTTCTTGGATGCCCTAAGTCAGCTCTTCAGGGTTTCAGCCTGGGAAACTGGCTAACGCCTCATCCCCTTTCTGGTTCTGCAGATCTGCTTACTCTACACATTTCATGTAAATAGAATCATAAAATATGCAGTCTGTTGTGACTGGCTTCCTTCACTTAGCTTAAGGTTTTCAATGTTCATCCTCGATATATCTGTTTAAAATAAATGAATAAATGAATGGGTAACTGTCTAGTGCGACCCTGAATCAGAATATGAATAAGTAGACCCCTTTCTGACCTTCTACTTCCTGGTAGAAAATTAGCTCCTTCTCCATAGACGCTGCAAGAAATGATGTCTACTTCCCAAGAGAGTTTTCAAATAATCTAAGTGTCTGGTTGAGTTAAACTCTCTGACGTAAGCATTCTATATGAACAATGAATGTCACATAAGATCTGGGTAAGTATCCGATACATGACATTAGTTTTTCTTTTAAAAACATATTTATTAAGGGTCTATCAGGCACATAATGACATACTAAGCTCTTTTTTTAGTTCTCACTTAATATTAAAAACAGCTCAGTGAGTTAGGTATACCTGGTTTATAATGGCCATTACATATGAGAAATGATATTCGTACTGAGTATCAGAGTGACATTCTAACAATTATTGATAATTGTTCTAGCAATTTCCAGAGACCACCCAGTTAGCATATGCACGTTTTATGACTCCAGTAGCAGATTCTGTACAATTCCTTTAAAGGAAATATTTAGATTTTAGAAGAACTTGTTTATTCTCAAGCATTCTCCTTGCTCTAGACCACAGAATAACTCAGATTTAATCCACTGAATCTGCTTGTCATGGTGAGTCTGAGGAAACGCAGAAACTGAGAGGTCACGAGGAAGGACTGAGAGCCCAGGCAAGGGAGGGACGCCTAGAAAGAGGCAAGGCTGTGGAAGCCCCTGGGATGGCTGGATCCACAGCAGGACATGGAACAGAAACTGCTCAGGGTGGAGGGAGTCATAACGGAACATTTCCACTAAGTCTGGGAAAGCGGTGGCTCAGAACTGATGTTTCCTCAGGGAACAGGCATAAAAAAGACCCAGGAAACAGAATCTTGTCCAGGTGTGGGTCTCTTGGGTACCCTAAGTTAACTCTTTAGGGCTCCCACCTTGCAAAGGCTGTGACTGGCTAAAGCCTCTCTAGATCCCAGCCCCAGAGAGGAGTCCTGGAAGCTCCTGAGGCCTCTTTGATTGCGGGATCTAGGAGGCAGGGGAATGTCAGGAATGACCCAGCACTTGTCTGGTTGAGCAAGAGCCACCTCATCCTCTTCCCAGAG